CCGTACCCTGACATAACCGTACCCAGTCTCCTCTGATATTTATATGTTATGATTATACATTAATATTATTCATTCATATAAGATCTACTACACGGTAGATATTACAATGAAATGTATCAACTCAATTTTCAAATTTGAATGATGATAAAGATTGTAATTTATATTGGCAATACATATAAATGAAGAAAAAAAGTTTTATCCAATCGCTGTTAATGTGTATATCTATAATACTGTCACAACTAATATTTTATGTTCTGGATATTACAGAAAAAAATACCTACTTGTTTTTAATATCAATAAAACAAATGTAAAAAAACTATGATCTATAAATCTTATAAGAATATTGTTTCAATAATATATTTCTTTAATCCAAAATATCACCAACTTTTGGATCTCACTAATCACTCTTGGTACTAATCAATGTAATGAATGTTTTAATTTTTATATCAATTTCGATTGAAAAAATGCCGTTTTGTTTATGAAACATATCAATACAAATATTAAAAGTATACTATTTTTGCTTCAATACTATTTTACTGTTAATATTTCTACAATCTCAATTTAAATTATATACTTGTATAATTCTGTCTTAAATATTACTTTGAATTTTACAGAATGAAGTATTATTTAATTTTGAATCCTAACTAAAGAAATATCAAATATTAAAATATTTTGGTAGTAATTACAAGTTTCGGGCGCTTGCCAATTTGATTCGCTTTAAGTTTATAAAATATAATGAGATATATTTATTCAAAACTTTAAAAGGCAATTATAAAAATATTTTTTCATATTTTCCAATTTATTTTTAATGATCTACATAATAAATTTAGAAACAGAATCAGTATTATAAGCTTTCATTAATTCAAAAAAAGTATACGTGTGTTAAATTTTAGATCTAACAATGAGTACATGCAATATATACAAAAGAATTATTATGATAGAAAATAATGCAATAAATTATTTTATACTTCAATAGTTTTTAAGAATGGATTTAAGACAGCTGCCCAACAAACATTAAATTTTTATCGCTTCAGGATCAATACTCATAAATCCATCATCAATATTTAAAGCATAATATAACTATAAAAATAGAGTGAATGTAAGACAATTTGATGATGATTTCTACTTAAATAGCACGCGTAGAAGAATTTCACTCTACAACTTTTACAGATTCAGCAGTTAAATCAAAGTGTTGATAAAAATAATTCTAGCTAAATTTATTCTAATTGCTACCGGCGAATAGCAAAAGCTATCATATATATTCAAAAGAATTGCTTATGATTGAAAATTGAATCAAAAATAAAAAATAAATATTAATCAACGTGAAATTTACCCGTGAGTAAATTTTAAAATACTTTGGAATAAATATTTTGAAAGAAATTTAATGGCTTTTTTATTTTATGAGCAATAAAAGTTATCATGTCTACGAATTAACTTTAGAAAAATTTATTTGTATTTATTGTTAGCCTGTAGCATATCCAAATCTCTTATCTATTCTAAAGTATAATACAGATCCCAAAATATACTAAATCAGTAACAATTTGTGTATAATTTGTGTATGGTACTTAAACATTGTATGTAATAAAATTCTCAGGCTTGCAATTACCACGAAGTGATAATAAAGCTACTAAATTTATTCCAATATCTGCAGCCGTATTGTAAGAGCTTTCAACTTTTTTAAATTAGAATTTTGCTGCAATTGCTGGCACACAAACTAGTCTAAAATTTAGTATAATAAAAACTAATCAGTATAAAAATTATATGAATAAAAATAAATTTAATAATAAATAATCAAGTAATCAAAAAGAAATGATTAATTAATCGAATAAATTGTCGGAATTGTTCTTGTGACAGGTTGGACATTCACAAGCAATTGAGATGGTCGTCAGTTCTATTTTCGTTCAATTCTAATATTAATTTTAAAAAGCTCTTAAATGTATTCCAAGAAATCGCTTTCGATTGGCTATCATCGACTCATAATTCGATGTATTTTGGAATAAATAATTTAAAATACTTACTTATCCATTTGATTTATCGTTCAATATACATAAAGTCAGACGGAGCGCGTGCATTAGAATAATAGTGTGTACTAAATCATAAACGAGTTTCGAAAATTTATCAGAAGTGCTTTATTAGATTTCAAATTATTTATGTGAAGTTTACTGCTCACGGACAAGCGTTTATATTGTGATGAAATTTAAGATATCTAAAATAGTTTTTTGTTTTTGAAAAATCATACTTAAGCATACAAAAACTTACTTTTTGGTTCATTTACTTAATATCAGATAACTTCTCGTAGGGTAACTTATAGTAATCGCACACAAAATCGAAAATAATTATTTTATATCTCGTTACGTTTTAAAGGTTTCTGAACATTTTGGCATACCTTAAAAAGAATTGATGAATGTGTGTGTGGGCGGATATAAATTTTCTTCAGCGATTTTGGGAATACGGATCAACCGATTTTAATAATTCAAAAAACATTCGATTGGTTTTTAGCAAAGGCATGCCTAGCCGTTTCAAAGACACAGGACAAAAACTGCAAAAAATAGCAATTCAGTTTTTGAGAGAATGAAATTCTGATTTAAAAAAAATATATTTGTATTGACAAACTGATTGCATTTTTGAAAAGGCGCGTTTTCGAAGATACAATAAATAAAAAAGTAAAAAAAAATCTATTTAGCGGTCAAAAATGATCATTAGACCTATGCACATCAAATTATCATATAGTTAAATAATAAGTTCAATTCACATTTTGTTATGTACCGTACCAATGTTTACCCGTTACACTGCGATGCAGCGCTTACGCGCTTCTATATTTTGTCTCTATAACAGCTACGCAGCGCGATTCAAAATTTTCAAATAATTTCAAAATATAAAAAAATCTAAGTTTTTAGAAAAGTTAAGTTATGTTTAAAGAAATTTCAAAATGCTCAATTTTTTTTAATTTAATTTTTAGTATGAGAAGTTCCAGCAATTTGTTTTAAGGCATGTCATGTACCACCAATTTTGTGTTAATAACGGTTTAATTAAACTGGTTATGTGCAATTAAGATCGAAATGCAAATATATCATGCATAATAAAAGTTTTGAATAAGTTAAAAAAAACTAACTTGATTTTTTTTAAATCGCAATTTTTCGATATGATACTTTTCTGTATAATTTATTTAATTTCTACAAATATATATAGAAAAATATTCAAAAAATTTATTCATGAATAATTAGTATATACATTCTAAATTTTTTAATAGGTCTTTAAATATTTTTTAGATTATTTATATTTTAATATAAATTTTATACGTCAATATTCCAGAATATAATTTCTATTAGATTTTCATAAAAAACGGTCAGTGACAATAAAAGGAATAGTCAAACGACAATAATATATTTTGTTTCATACTTCATGTACAAATTCCTGAAAAAATATGAAATAAATGAAACATTGAATATATTTCATCATATATTTTATTATTTATTTTGTATTGAATATATTTATATTCCATTGACATAGAATTTCTTTTGTTTACGCTTAAAATTAAACATATTTATGTACATTACATCCTTCACTCTAATAGTACAACAAACTCATTTATATAATTTATACTATATAATCCATATGCTTTTATAAAAGTGTTTTATAAATTATTTACAGATAGTTTCGAGATGATTTATTAAGTGACAAATGACTCATTAGAATTGTGATTTTGTGAGAAAGATGTTTCAACTATGGAAAAAGATAACTGAATTTAAAATGAATTGAAATAGATAAATTGGACCAAGTATTAAATATGTTAAAAAAAATAATATTTGTCATTATTTGAAAAGCGTGTATATTTAATATTTCTAACAATGAAACAATAGTTAAAAAATCTTTTTATTTAATTATTGAAGTTCGTATTTTTGAAATAAAATGTTTGAATATTTACGTTTTCAGTATAATACAAATAATAATAAATATGTTGCGATAGTTTGGACAGAGCGCAATATTGCTTTATAAATCATTATCGATAATATCGTTATAATTTTGATAAAGTATACATTAGAAATCTATTTACATATGTACAAGGTTTGGATGTACTTTTGGTGTAAAAATTTATCGATTACTGTAAATTTTAATAAATAGAATAAAAATTTTCAAGATTACTTTTATTATTAGACAGAAAAACATATGCCATTTTTAAACCAATTTGCCGTACATCATATAAATAAATAATATTACTATGTTAAAAATATTTAAACATAAATCATTTTACACAACTAAGTATTGCTATTTACGATTTATTTAAATTAATTTTGGCACTATTTAAAATTACATTGCTTTCTTCATTACACATATATATATATATAATTTTAAACTTAATCATAAAAATACTGATTACTATTCCAAATACTATCAATATATAGGTAGGTTTTCTCTATACCTATTTATGTTTGAAAAAGAGAAATTTGCACACAATACTACAACATTTTGTTTAAAAAGATGAGAAAATTCATTTACAGATCACTGGTTGGATTATAAATATATTTTTAATGTCTTTCGAACTGAAATTCATTTGGGGTTATTTTTTGGCACAAAAGTTCACCAGATCAATATAAGTTCGTTTACATTTATCACAATAATTATAAATGTTTATATAGTTGGATTTAACTTGGTTACTAATTTTAGTATGGTTTTTGAAAGTAAAATTGTTAAGACAAACACGTCCAGCGTGGATTCACACATCACACGAAGTGGAAATTGTCTTTGTGCATTTAATTTTCACTAATAAAACACTGCCGGAAAAATTGCTGTTAGTCTTTTGTCGCACTTATGAAATTTCTTCTATTTGTACTCCGTGTAACTGTTTTTACTCCCAAAACCAAAGTTTTAATCACTAAGACATCTTCGACCCATCCTATCGCCTAAATCCTACACCTTCGAACGTCCAATCACAGATACAGCGCAGAGTCTAAAGCATCATATCAATCCCTGGTGTCATTTTCAAGTAACCCATGCATTTCGTTCTTATTCTAAAGCATCATAATTGGGCTGTCCAGATCCTGGTCACCAGGATCGACCGCTCTAAGTCACGCGTCGCTCTCTTCTCCGCTGCAATCGTCCATTTCCATATCGATTAATTCTTCGTCGTCGTCCAGGCCTGAGTAATCTTTGCCGGAGGCTCCGTTTCCGGAGGAACCTTTGTCTCCGTTACCGGAACCGCCGTTGCCCTGGCCGCCGGAACCAGATTTTTGGTCTTCCTCTTGCTGCATTCGCTTGTGTTTCGTCCGCCGGTTTTGGAACCAAACTTTTACCTGAAATAAAAAAACGCTCATTAGAGATTTGGTATATCATATAATATTAATAAATAAAAAAAGTATCCTTACTCCTTATCCTAAATGTAATGACTTTTTAAATATATTTCAAGAATTTTTATTACGATGGGTGTATCAATAGCGAACAAAATTACAAATTCTTAATTATAAATATTTATTTTAATTAATGAAAGTTTTCAATTTTTGATCAAATCGTAACATCGTGATTTGCGTCGCGCGCATTATTTCTTTCCATAAGCGAAACTAACCGTTTTGTCTTCAAATACGAAATGTTTCTATGTATCGTTTCTAATTATTGTGCGACTAAGCGACTTAAGCTTAAATGCCATTTAACTGTCAAAATAATCCGTTATAATGAATGCCGTGGCAGAAAGGGCAATCATATCAGCTCGTATACGTCTTCCGCCTTCCGTTTTCCGTTTTCAAACCACCGGGAACGGTTGTCTTTTCATATGAACAAATTGTCACTGCGGCAAAACGTTTTCATACTTATTACGAGACATTCGTACCGTTGATATCGCATTTAAGCACAAGAAATTACTTAACTGTCATCAGAACTGATTTTACTGACTTTGATTTATTGTACTACGATACACAAACATGGTAAAATTTACTATTCGACATATTAATAAAAAAATGTTTTATGATTGAAATTCCAACTGGTCTAAATCACAGTTCCAAAACAACTATTGAATATTGTGCGATTCGCTACAGTCTTCGAAAACTAATTTTCTCGGTTTTTCGAAATACATATTTTGGAGTCAAATTTGAGACCTCGCGAGGCGACGTGATACTACCGAACAATTAAAATATTTAGTTCATGCAATTCAAACTATATGGACTGTACAAAAGATTAGTGATTAGTTTATTGATACCAAGATACATTATAGTTGATCGCTAATAAGATTATATTGCAAAAAGACGAGTATAAATCACTCGACGAAATTCTTCAAACTTTATATGTCTGACGATAGGAAGATTTAACAATATAATTATAGGGCAGCTAGGGGCTTGTTGTAACTTTTTTTTAACATCTTGAAATCAACTGATTACATTTCTACGAAATGAAAGGTTGCTGTAACTATTCCTCTACCAAATCAAGTAAACATATATTCACGAATGTTGTTCATTATTTCACAATTAATCAATTTCAAGAAAAAGTGCGCGAAGAAGTAACGACAAAAAAACGACAATAACGCTTCTGATTATTCATTCTCTATACTTATTTTTATGAAAATTGACTTGTTTCTAAATAATTCTTTTCGTACATCAACGCAAACTATAATTAATACAAATAAATATATAATGTCTTCTTTAATATATATTTTTATCATAAATCCACGCAAACTATAATTATTATCATAATACAAATGAAAGATATAGTGTCTCCTGTAACACAATTCACATTTCTCGCACATTTTACGGATTATAAGTTGCACCTAATCTTCTTCACTAGAATCTGTGCATAATTCTTGTATGTTACACCTAGCCCAAATGTATGTTAAAACTAATTCCAGGTGTAATTCTTTTATTTTAATCAAGATAACTATTTAAACAATTTAACTATCACAAAAATTGTTATACGTTATAGAAGATTGATAAATTTGAAACAAGAAAACATACGTAAAATTTAAAAAAAATTCAAACTAGTCGATAATAATAATGTAAAATGAAATTTTATGTTAATATATTGCGTTCGTCTACGGGACAGTAGCTATGACAATATTAGGCAGAACGACTTACATGTCCAATCGATTTACTTAGTTTTCTACCGCTTGCAACCCTGTAAGAGTCTAGGCGACAACTGAAGGATTTGATCTTTATTGCTTGGGATGATTTGATCTTTATTCCCCCGATTTGTAGTGTCCCCGGTCATCGCGCGAATGTTCACCGCCGCGCCGCCGCCATTTTCAGCCGGGCGCGCGTGGCCGTCAGCCATGTTGGGATCGTTCCCGTTTCCCGGGCGCCGAGCTTTTGTTTGCCGAACGTGCCGGATAAAGCTCCCGATAAAGCGCGTCTGGTGCCGCGGAGCTTTCGATGGACGGATTACGCGTTTTAATTGTCGACTACGCTAACAAGGTTTCAAGTTATTTATACAGTATATGAGTTTGTGACGCGGAAACGCCGCTCAAACAAAATAGAGCGGTCGATGTCTCGTTTAGAATGCAATTGTAAACCAGGGAGAATTCGAATTTGATACGTGATTATTTCAGATTTAGAGTATAATCATCGCTATATACATATACATGTTAAAATGCTATAAATTTATTTGTGTATGCACCATGATCAAAATTGTCCATGGTTTGATGTCTGTCTTGTAACAGAAGTAGTGTATATATACGAGGTGTGTTCAAAAAGTACCCGGAATTACTAATAATTAAATTTCGCGGGTCTGGAGTGTCTGATTGTCAAATTTTTTTTTTATTGTGTTGGTATACATGCCCCTAAAGTATGATGAAATTTTCAGCTATATTCACTGTTTACTTTGTCTGTGGTAGTCGCTAAGGTTCGACGTGTTTTTCTGAGCTCGGCGATTTTTACAATGGAAGAATTGAAAAGTCAAAGAATTTGTATTAAATTTTGCGTAAAAAATGAAATAAAGTGTTGCAAAGTGCAAAAATTCACCAGATATGGCTCCGTGTGACTTTTTCCTATTCCCAAAGTTGAAGAGACCCATGAAAGGACGGCGGTTTTCCTCGATTGAAGAAAATCGCTGAGAGTGCTCAAGGACATATCAAAAAGTGAATATCAAGGGTGCTTCGAAAATTGGAAAAAACGCTGGCATAAGTGTATTATATCTGGGGGGGACTACTTTGAAGGGGACCACATAAATGTAGACGAATAAATAAATATTTTTTTGAAAAAACGAAAATTCCGGGTACTTTTTGAACAGACCTCGTATATATAACAAAATATATACACGGAAGATTGGTTCCGTAAAATGCCGTGTAACTTGAAAAATTTATTCTTATATGGTGAAGCCTTGCTTTTTGTTTCGGTACTTCAAACAAACTAGCTTATACATAAAATTTAGTTTTTATCATGAAACGGAGAGTTCCCATCTTAATTTACATATTTATATCATAGACATAAACTATATAGAACTCGTAACTGTAGATATAAGCGAATTATAGTTTAGTGTTTATAATTTCATGTGAATACAAAAATGATAAATTTCGTTAAAAACAAATTATTTCCATAACCGTGTAAGATAGAAAACGTGTAAAACTAGTAACGTATAAAACGGTGGTAGGTGTAATTATAAGTTTGTAATATAAATGTTAATCGGTATGCAACGGAATACATTTACAAAATTTTAAGGATAACTACATTGATATTGGCAATTTCAATCTTCTAAATAAAATGAGCTGTTTTACTTATACAGTCTCTTTAAGTAAACAGTTTTAAATAATAGAGGTAAGGTACTAACAAATAGAAATCAACGAAAGAAAACTATAAACAAAGTGTAATATAAGAGCAGTTAAAAAAATTTAATCAAATTATGACTGCTGTGGTACAAAGTTGAAAAAAATAACAATAATCATAAACTATTAAAAATTAACTCGTTGTCAGTTAAGAGTTTAGAATCTTCAGTTTTGAAATTTCAAAGTTTTGAGCCACTTTCCTATCATCACAGCCATTATTTTTATATTAGCCACATACCCGTATTTACTGTAATTATTTTCCATTGCAACATATTAGTTTTTGTATGATGTTTTGAAGCGTCCTTTACAAAACTACTCTATGCTAAAGTTCGCTATTTATATACGCAAAATCAAATAAAAACCAATGACTATACTGCATATAAAAATTGTCGTATATAAAATTTCAAAAGAAGGAAATGGAGGTTATTTGTCAAAGTTAACGGCGTGTAAAGCGCGACAAAATGCAACGAATAACAAGCACAAAATAGCGTCCGTTAGATCCCATATACATACACATATATGTACATATTTATCCACACACACGATTTGCAGCCCTTTTGCCTATGACAATTCTATAATAATGCGATGGGATCCCTTTTTAAATAATTTATTAGTTCCCGAATTCGGAGGGTTGAACGGTTAATAAAACGAGTCTATGATTCGCATCATGAACGATTAAATCAAGGATAATACACGCGTCATGAGCGGAGTCTGCAGATTAATTTAAGTAACAAAACATTATATATATATATATGGAAAAGTTCGGTTTTAAGTTACGATTTGGTTCACCAATACAATAAATCTAAAGAGGAAACAAATAGAAAAAAAAGATTTCACGCTCAATCACATATAATGGATAATTGATTTCATTATTTAATAATAAAGTTATTTGTTGAAAATTTAAATATTATTGACATCGTTTATTTTAATTTCATTGTATTCATATACAGCGTTTTATTTTGTATTTGTTACCATACTTATATTACACTAGATTTAGATTTTAAAATGTTTACTATACTATTTCACGCAATATAATCTTATACTTGAACAATGTGTAAATGGTATTTCACTTCAAGGCAATTTGTATATAATTTCAAATATCTGAAAATAATCAAGTTGATCAATACAGCTTGATAAATATTTGAATTTTTTAAATTTTAATTTTTCATTAATTATTATTTATAAGGAAACGACTGCAAATTTTCACACTAATCAGCAAATTTCAACTTATATCTTCCAAACGAATTTGCAAAATTCTTTAATATTCATTATTTTGCGCTTAAGTAAAGTAAAATATAATAATAAGCATCATAATGATTTTTTATTATAAATACAATAATTATATAGCCTAGGAATCTGGTTACTGAAATAAAAACGGAGGTTACATGATGAACTTAAAAAATCTTAGAAGAAATTAAAAAAGAAACAAAGAAAAATTTATTGTTCGATTAATATATTCGTATGTAACTGATTATAAAAAGAATAGAAGAATCAAATTGCTTGAACACACATTATATTCCAAACCCATAAACATGCAAGCTTCTAAACCATCTG